GACCCCTCAAAAATGCATACACCCATATGGGGTTGACTTGAGGCTCTCTTAACCCTCAAAAAGATACTACGAAGCATGAGAGCTATGCATAGTGGTGCTCATAGCACACAAAGTGAGAATGCCTGGCTAGAACTTGGTTTCCGTACCTAGCAAGAGAGGCAACTACATTCAACTGTTGGAGGTGTAGGTCGAGCAGGTGAATACCTCATTGCAGTGGGAAAGCTCTGTCTGAAGCCCTGGGAGATCTACCAACAGGTATGCGACTAAACCTCCCTAAACCCTAAACCTTTAACCCAAAATTCTACAAGCACGAACTTTGACCTGATCCGACCAGAGTTGTGACCGCCACATGAGCCATAATCTAAACTCCTAGTATCCCTTTAGTAGCCCCTATAATACTCCCCCCTAGAGTCCCGTAGGTAACGTTTTAAGGAGTTCAGATAATGGCTCACGACATGAAGCTCTGCCTACCGAGGAAGTAATCATGCAGGTCACTGATGAACATGAAGATACTTCACAAAACACAGTCACCAGCACCTGAAACTCGAGTTTGGTCGTGGATTTTACCTACTGTTGAGGTTCAGCTACTGTTGTACCGATTCTTAAGCATTCTTCAGCCTTTGGACCGCAAGTACTGCCCAAAAGAGGCCTACATCGACCGAAAACACCCAAGCCCATGTCGCAACTCCTGTTACCACAGCCCCACCCTAAAACCGACAACCTGAATGCTACTCGACTCTGAACCGTGAATGCACTTTTTGTAATTACAAACTTGAACCCGGATTGAATACAGTAGATCAACTCAGTGAAGCGTCACCGCCCGGAGAACTGACCTTTACCGACAGGGCTAGGGCTCAGGGGTTAGGTTTCAACCTATCCCCCAGCATCTCCCACTCCACTGTAAACATATGACAAACTCAAGTTTGGGAATTTTGGCTTTAGGATTTAGGGTCTAGGGTTTGGGAATCTTTGCTAGGGAAGTGTGTAGCCGGGCGATCACCATAAGGAGGAGGCAAAGAAGGTTACCCCGATCCCTCACCAAGGATTTAATTGATTTAGGGCTTCGGACGTAGGATCAGCAAAAGGGGTTGAGGGTTAAGACAAGCTTAAGGCCTAGAATCCCGACCATCCGTTCGGGAAAGCAGTTCCCAGTCTGTAAATACTACAAGTTCACGCAACACAACAGCTCTAGACTCTAAACCCTAAACCCCGACCCTAAACCCTGAAGCTGTAGGTTTCAGAGGGTAGGGTTTCACTAGGCAGTGAATGTCGGATGTACGTGCCCAATACTCAAACACGTGCACACATCCCCTAACACCTATATTGTGATTCCTGCGTTTCTGTTGGGGGCGCATCAGGTCGTGGAAGAATTCCTCCTTCCACAGTCTTACCTCAAGTGCCCCCCGTATCTTGTCTTGGGGCCTCTGACCAGAAACCCTGAACCCAACCCTAAACCCGAATCCTTCAGCTCTAAGCCTTAGAGCCCTGAGGAGTGATTTGGTAGTTTTCAAAAGAGGTGGTCCTTAATAAGGACCCCAGACTAACGTGATCCTCATGACGGGGATCCCTGTTTTTCAGAAAACCCCAAACCCTATAAACATGTAACCACAGTCTCCATTCCACAGTTTCCATTTAATGTTCCTTGTTGTTTTATTGGATTTTCTCTGGTAAGGGCTGCACATGCCGAAAGCATACCCCTAAACCCTAAACTCAAAACTGTTAAACAGTGGTTCCCATGTTTTTTACCGTTACCGCTAAATACATGATCTAAAATGTAAAGGTTCTTGAGAGAAACTATTTAGGGTTCCTGTAGGTCCATGAGGGATAATAGAGGGGAAGTTTTTCCACGATTGCCATTCATGTTGGGAGCTTTGAGTAACTTCCATATATACCTGCATCATAAAAGCATAATCAAAGTCCTACCTCATATGTTGGCTGCGGTTAATGCTTCCGGTCTCGCATCCCACTGCTTGGAGCTCTCCTCGTTATGGTAGGATATCATTGCCGGGTCAGTGCTGGATATATAGTCCCCCTTAAGTAAATAGAATATGGCCTTGGGTATATTGTAAGAAGATCCCCATATACGCCATATTCTATCTACTTATGGGGGACTATAGGTTTCAAGCTTATTAGACTATAGAGGTCTGCTGGAATATCTTTCCGTTGCTTCATGCCATCCAGCCTTGAAGTCCTACAACTTAACCCCTGAACCCTGGCTATATCCTGGCTATATACATGTGCTGAATATAACCTAATGGGGAGCCAGTAATGTCAGCGGCTTGAAATTCTCAAAATCTACCCACCAAGATTTTCTCATGCCTGCTGAAAGCCTCTGAAGCCTAAGCGCCTTCTTAGAGTGTAGGGATCAAGAATAAAGAGTCAAGAGAAATTACAAGCTACAGGTTCACCTGAAACCGATATGCATTGGCCCAATTCCGAGGGTTGCAGATGCCTGTCTCACTAGAATGCCTGTTTGCCTTCAAATGCAAAATTACCACAAGTACCACAGGTCGTACATACGCAGTGAATCTAGGATGCCAATATTGGTCTTGATTTCGGCCCCTACATTCCAGTACTCCAATACACATCAACATGAACACGGCTTACATTTCATTATCCATGGTCTTGTTACTTTGATTCTCCAGTAGGGTGTAGGGTGTGGGTCAAGACTCTGAGCCGTGAAGCCTTCTTTGGGGCTTGGGGCCACGCCCAAAATCCTACGCTACTAAACCCCTAAGCGCCTAAGCACCAAGCCCCTGAACGAAAAGCCTGAGCCCTGAAAAGCCGAGCAGCTCTTCAGTTGTCACGTGCTGGTCTGGCGTGGGGCAGTGGAAGAATTCCAGTGCAGGGCCCTCGGCAGCCTTCGGCAGTTCAGGTGGTGCTCCAAGCAGCCAAAACTCATAGTGCTTAAGGCTCTGGTTTTTAAGGCAACTGGTAAAAAGCCCGAGTACCCCAATATTGTCTACTTGGGCCCCAAATTATCTACTTTGGAGCCTTTTGGGGCCCAAATCACATGTCATTTACTTCAAGCCATTGGTGCATCGTCATGAAACTACCCAGCAAGCCAAGAGCACATGATTATGTGCTCTTAGTTGTTTATGTCGCGCGAGTTCTACCTCTGCGGGCTGAACGTAGGGGATGTTTTTGGGCAACAAGGCTTCCTACGCATTCACTAGGCCTTTGCTTGGCGCTTAGTTCTAGTCAAGTACAAATGTCGGGCACACACAGAGGAGTCTCTCATCTTTGGTTTGGGAGATGCATGGCGTGAGAAGAGACTTCGATTTAAGGCATGGCATGCAAGATGCGATGCTGGGGTTGATGCCCTAGAACATGTTTCTGGCTCGTTAATAGGGCCACTATCTAACGCCTTTTTGCGCACGTACTTTCTTGAATTGTATTACAAAAAAGACAAAAGCAGCATTACCTGAACCCAGGTTTAGGCCAATGTTTCTAAATGCTGTGCTATGTGTTTGTCGTTTACTTGCGTTTCGAATGCGGTTCAGGGGATGGGGTCGAATCGCTGAAGGCCTAGACCGAAATCCGGCCCTCGGAGCCTCAGGGCCAAGTGGAGCAACCCTCAACCCAAAAAGAATCCAGGTACCCTCTAGAGCCTACGTAATATATACTTGGACACCACAATATGAATAGAGGAGGCGCTTTGGACCCAATATAATATGTTAAGGTATCTGGTTTGGGGGATACATAATACTTATCCCTATAAACCCTCTATATATATATATATATAACCCCACTCGCCATTTAGTTTTCCCATGTTCTTACCCATTTGATTCTTGATTATTGGGATGGCCGTTATAGGCGCCCATCTTGAATACACCCCAAACATCCCCCGGTCTGGAACTCTAATCCAGGAACGACCTGAACCCTGAGCCCAAGAGGTCTAGGACCCAAATTTTAGGGCTTCGGTGCTTGGTACCTAAACCCCCCAACATTTGAGTGTAAGCCCTGAAGCACAAACAGCCCTAAACTCCAATCTCTGCACCCTCAGCCCTGGGCCCTAAACTCTTAGCACCCCTGAATGTTCGACATCCCCAAACCTAGACTGTCAGCAGCGAAGCTGTGATCCTGTACCCGAAGCCCCAGCCCTCAGTCTTCAAACATAAATCCTTAGGTTGAGGGTTTTAGGGCTTGAGCCTTGAATTCTGTGCGTTACAGAGTGAACCTCAGAGCAAACGCATCACTTGCAAGCCTAAACCCGAGCCCCAGCCTTCCAACCCGCCTTCTCTGCATGAAGCCGCTGGGCAATGTCCCTGAGCTTACTTCTGCAAGCGGTATTGATGCTTATCAAAATCAAACCCGCATAAACCCTAGAATCACCCTGTTTGGAGGCCGAGCACAGACATGCAGAGGCAAACAGAATTTAGGGTGAACGATGCAGGGCCTTGGGCAGTTCAGACTATGGGCCTGGAGAGTCCGTCGAATCGTGCCTTTGTGGCGTTGACGATGCAGAGTTGCCTATAAACTTGCACAGGCTCTACTGCATGGGTTCAGGGCCCGGGGTTTAGAGCGGGTGAGGGTCTAGTTCTTTTTACCACTCCTTTTTCCTTTTGAACGAAACTAGGGTTCAGGGTCCATGTGTTGGGTCCAGGGTTTAGGGTTATGGTCACGCATGGTCCAATTCGACTTCTCGGGATGCGCTTTAATTTCGATTCGTGATTTCTGTGCCTGGATACCAATACACTGACTGAACTTATGACAGAGTCTCTCGCATGCCCCAAAGTAGGCCCCAGTTAGAGTTTGTTTAGAGGAGGGTACTTTGCGATGGAAGTTGCAGTGAACGCTTCCAATCTGCAGTCCTCAGCAGCTTTAGCTTTCCATGCAGACCGAAGTACATGTACGGCGTGAAGCGGCGAAGCTCTGCATGCTCCTGGCCACGCTGTTGATGGAATGTGTTCAGCACCAGCGCAGGTACCTCAAATAATCAGCTCCCCTAATATTAGCCATGCCCCTACATTCTAATATTAGATATGTACTCGAACATGCTTGGATCACGGGAGGTCATCTTGAACATCAGGTGGCAGGTGGATAATCCCAAGACCTTAGTGTAGCAACAACTACAGGCACAAACCCTGAACCATAATACCTACCAGTATGGGCTATTAGACCCTAAAAATCCCTATTAGTACCTTAACAAGGATGGATTAAGTGCCCTTTAAGGCCCATCCTGGTAATTACTGCACATCCCTGTATCATTTCTTTCTCTCACGTTGAGAAGCGATTTGGGTGTTAAACCTGGCAGGGCTGACTTGCTTGACAGGAGATCTTGGAGACCCTCAGCGAACTAGTCATCATAGCAATAATAATCAGAATGGCAATAATTGCAATAGGAACATGAAGAGTATAATTGTATATTACTAGTAATAGTATGAATAATAGTAATAGTACCTCAATACTCTACCCCTGACCCCCGCACCCTCAAGTCTTTAACCCAACTCGCTCGATCACCACGCTCCACCGGCGCTCCTGAAGGCAAATGAAAGTATCGACGCCCGCATCGATGAGCGAGCGTACCTTGCCCATACTTTGGGGTGAGGGATGCGGGACCAAGGTGAAGGATTAGGGTTTGAGTTTTGGGTTTAGGGTTTAGGGGTTGGGGTTTAGGGTTGGGTTGAAGATTTTGAGGGAAGCCAGGGTTCCGAGTCCGCGATTTGAATTGACGGGTTTAGGATGTACCGCGTATTGAGCCAGAGCTTCCAAGTGTCCTATATTGGGAGGCACCATGTTTGTACACAGTACCTAGACCTCTGCGGCGAGTTCAGAGCTCGATCTGCGCGGAGGGATGTCGTGCCTTAGGGATGCCGGTGCCCAAATTTGTACGGTGCATTAGGTTTAGGGTCTAGGGTCTTAGACTTTCTTCGAAACACGTCCGAGGGTCAATAGTTCCCATAAGAAACAGGATAGCACAACAAGCATCTTGTGCACGAGTGTGGACTGCCGGCTTACCTCATGATGATGGTACGACGCCACGCGGTTTAGAGTTAAGGGTCTAGGGTTCAACCCTAAGCCCTACATCCTGCACCTCGAGTGCCAGACTCAAGACTTACGCGGAAACATAGGAGCTCCCTTCATTTATCCAAAAACAGTATACCGCTTGTTGCAAGGACTCCCCCAACAAGGAGCACGAGTCGGTAAAACACCTCCAACGTTCGCCAGTCCGCACTTCAGAATGACAAGCATCAGCGAGATTTCCCTCATACCTGTATAGCCGTTAATTAGTTCATTTGGAACCTCAAGCTCAAGATGTCTACAAACTTTAAGGGTATAAATCGGTATAAACTTAAATATGTTGATAGATGCAGGCTCCAGGATAGGAACTCCTGAGCCCTGAACCCTAAACCTGAACTTTATTGAAGAGGTTTTAGGGTTTAGGGTCTACCCCTCAATACCATAAACCTGGGTGCAAAGTTAAAAATCTCTGAAGCCAAACGCGCTGAGCCTTGGCAGTATGCCATGGCTCACTTTGATGTCCTGAAGGGTCCATGTACGACAGGGACCAAAATGGGTTATATTGGGGTTTTATTCGGATAATGGAAAATAGAATGGAAACTACTAAAATGGGTGATATAGGGTCCAGGGTTTAGGGTCTCGGGTTTAGGGGGCTTGGGGCCTAGAATCCAGGGGTATTACCGCCAAGAAAGGAGAATCACATGGAAAAGACCATGGAACATGAAATTGAAACTGCGTTTGCGGTGGTAGGCGCCACAATAATTACCAACCCAATGTTGAGGGCTATATCAGGGTTTAGGTTTCAGGGGTGTAGGGTTTTGAGGTACTTTATACTTCGACTAAACAAGGAATCAGGGCCCACTATATTGCAGGTTTTTATGCCCCTGCAGCACACGAACAGCATACGGCTGAAGGTTAAGAGTTTTGGGTCTGAGTAGTCAAGCGATTGTTACTCAGAACCCAAGGTACCTACCGTAAACCCTGAACCTATAAACCCTAAACCCGTGCTGTTTGGACCCTTTGCACGCTCGGGTATCAAGGCATTGCTTTTGAGTACAGTATGAGCCCTAAATCAGGCGCCGTAGAGACTAGAGCCTTCTTGAAAGGGACTACCTTAGATTTCACGCGGCTTTGGGAAGTCCACAGGTTCTAGGCATAAGAGCTACCGGCTGCGCCAAACTTCTTGCTTGAACCGCATCCCATAAGGACACCACTCCTTCAGGATTAACAGCATGGGATTCCAAGAGCAAGCAAGGAATTCTATGCCCACACACTTCTCTCTCTCCCTCCCCCTCCAAAATTTGCTCGCAAGTCACAAGCTCACATGCGCCCTGAAAGGCCCAAACCCGGACTCGTTTCAAACCCGGCGCCCCGGAACTTCCATCTTAAACCCCTAACCTTTAACCCTTCGCTCCTTTGAGCCTATACAGGGTTCAGGAGACTCGAAATGGAAAGTGCGTGTATATATATATATATTTATATACACATACATATACATATATATATATGTATTTATATGGAGAATTATCGCCCCAAACTCTGAATCCTCAACCCCAAACCTTAAAACCTAAACGTTGAAACCTAAAATTCCCAGAAGCAGGTCCTGGAAAGCTCCCAGCAATTAGACGCCCGGGCAGGATCCACTGACAGGTGTCATGTGGAGGTGCCTCGTTTGGCTTGGTAGCGTCTACCTGAACCCAAATATTCCTACTGCTTCTCAGTAGGGAATAGGGGGATATACGATACAGGGATTATAGATTCCCTACTAAGAACCAGCAAGTAATCTATATAGAATAGGAGCCTTTTTGGTTCCTTGTATGGCTTTTGGGCCATTATGTGCTTACTTTATAGGTCAAGGGAGGCATGTGCGGATGCCGGTATTGATCCCGATTTAATCACCATGTATAGCCCAGTAAAAGTACCGTTGCTCTCCTACGCCGCTTGGGGCTGAGGTTGAGGGGCAGTTAGGCTTTAGAGTTTAGGGTTTCGGAGCTTGGGAAGGATCAGGCTTAATATGTGGCCCGAAAGGCAAGGATTCCTATGCTAGCTTCTCCGGCTGTATGACATGGACCAGAAGAATGTTCTGTATTGGGATTACCTTATAGCCACACTTAGGGGTTTGCCAAAGTTAGGGGCCGTTTTTGGGAAGTTTCTTATAATAAGGATTATGGTATTTTGGGGTCTATAATATTGGGGTCCCCTTGTTTTGGGAAGCTACCGTTTCTTATTGGGCTTTTGAAAGGCAGAAAAATGTATCCAACAACGAACCAAAAGACCAGTCCATTGGTGCCATGAGTAACACTTTTTCACCCCACACAGAGATTCGATCCCCTTCTTGCCACCCCGAGCCCTCAGCCCAAAGCCCCTCTCTGGGAATTCCATGTTTGTTTGGGGGAGGGCACGGCCTACATGGCCCCTGCAACAAAGAGGCCTAAAACAGCCCTAAACCCTGAACCCCTAAAACCCTGAGCTGCAGCTAGCATACGCCCACGTCGGAGATATTCAAATCCTCGACGAACTTCAGAAGTTGTTGGGCTTAGGGCGTCTGCGCGGGCTTTCTGGAGATTACGAAGCCTCTGGGGTGATCTCTATTATAGGAGCCTCTCCTGAGCACCACCATTTCTAAACTGTTGTTGGTTGTGAGAATGAGAGTGAGATTGAGAATTGAAATTGGTTACCCTAAACCCTAAATCCTATAGTAGTTTCCATTCTCTTTTCCATTATCCCAATATAACCCCAATAATAGTGAGATTGAGAATGAAACTGGTTGGCTGTAAAGCTTTAGATGCCCAAGGCAGTCGAGGCTGTACCATCTGGAACTTTCACGAATGTCTGCATACGCATGGTTCAAGGCATGAATCACGGCTATGACTGGCAAAAATATGACTTTAGCACCTGCCTAGTTCCACTATTTTCAATTTTAAGTTAAAGGGCGTGGATGGCCTCACCTGAAGCCTGGGATTGCTCTTGGGTGCCCAACGCCAGATTGCAAAAACTTTTCTGGGCATGATACGGCCATCCAGAAACACTCATGGTAAGTGTAAAGTGCAATCATGCACATATGAAGGCGATACAAATGACCATGGACGGGATTCGAGCAGCGGTCATTTCTCATGCTTGAGGTTTCGGACCTTCAACGCAAAGCCGAATAAGCCTACTACTTCCAAATCCTATAGCCAGCCAAACCAAGCTGTCAGCCAAGGATGTCTACTGCCTACAGAGCATAAGAGAATACCTATTCCCAAAGGGTCCCAGTACCTATATCGCATATATTTGACGCCTAAACAGCCTGGAGCGCTAAAGTTCCTGGAAA